AATCACTCGAAAGACTTCTCCAAGATGGGCACTTGAGCGAATTCCTAGAACAATCGCAATCCTGAAGAAATACTTTACTTAATATTTATTATTGCCTCACGCGGGCTCCATGTAATTTCTTTTCAGCAATAAGTCGGGGGCATATCGTCCCGCGCAATATTTCCAATCAGGTAATAAGTCGCTAGCATACCGCACCGCTCAATATTTCCAATTATGTAATAAATCGGCGGCACACTACCAGCCGCAAGATTATTAATAAACTATTTTAGCCGGTGGGATACCGCCGCCGTAATTTCTACATCAACAAAAGTAGCTAAATGGGAAGATATCAAGGATCACAAAGGGTCTGGCCAACTCGAACCTTGGTTTCTCGCTCCCAGAGCTCCAAAAAATAGAGCAACTAAAGCTCAAGGAAGTCTGATCTGCCATAAAAGTTCGTATAAAACACTTAGGCAAACGGACTTCCCACATAAAAAACTTGAGGGTCTGATCAACCGCCAAGTACAGAAATACGGACTCCCCACTAGGCAATAAAGCCAAGGGGTACCGTTTCACCTAGAAAGATAAAGCATAGCTCATTCTTCACAAAAATACGGACTTCCCACTAGGCTTTAAAGCCAAGGGATACCGTCCTACCAAAAAAGATAGAGTAAAAGCTTATTCTTTACGAGAGTCGAGCCTCCTACTAGGCGATATAGCCAAAGGGATACCGTCTCACCGAAAAAGATGAAGCATAACTCATTCTTTTCAAAAATGGACTTCCCATTAGGCGTTAAAGCCAACGGATACCGTCCTACCAAAAAAGATAGAGTAAAAGCTTATTCTTTACGAGAGTCGAGCCTCCTACTAGGCGATATAGCCAAAGGGATACCGTCTCACCGAAAAAGATGAAGCATAACTCATTCTTTTCAAAAATGGACTTCCCATTAGGCGTTAAAGCCAACGGATACCGTCTTACCTAAAAAGATAAAGTAAAGCTCATTCTTTACGAGAGCCGAACCTCTCAATAGGCAATATAGCCAAGGGATACCGTCTCACCGGAAAAGATAAAGCAAAACTCATTCTTTAGGAAATGCGCGAGTCCGATTAAGCACTAAAGCCAAGGGATGTCACCTATTAAGGAAGATAAATTAAGTTCTCGTTCTTGAAGAAAAACGGACTCCCAATTCACGAAGTCTCGAAGCATTTTCCAAAACAAATTAGCCATTGGCAATTTTTTCCGAAAAAGATAAAATGCAATTTCGGTATTTTCTCCTAACAGAAAAAAAAAGGGGGAGATACGTATTCAAACGACCATTTCTTATTTACTCCCAGGCAGGTCCACAAGGCCGTGGCCCAACCTGGGAGTGGGGGGCTTAATGATGTGCCTAATTCTTAATTGGGTTTTTGGCCTAAAAGGCCAAATCAATCCAATTAATAATAAAAGCCCAATTATCACATCTACTAAAATTCAATAGGATTTTAGTTATAACATATTGTCCCACATCGGATTTCTACAAGAAGTCTCCATATTCCATCACCTATAAATATGTGATTTAACTCATATAATAAGGTAAGCACTATTTAGGCAATTAACTAATATTATTTGCTTATATTGTGATAGTTTTCTGACTTGAGCGTCGGAGGACAATCGCCGGGCCACCCCCGGCGTGTCACCTAGTGTTTTCAACTGTTTTGTAGGTTAACGAGTGGAGCGATCCCTTCGACTACCTCGGACGCGTGGCAAGGACTCTCGGCATTCCCGATATTGGGCTTGAAGATTCCCGGACTTAGAAGACCTGTGGGTACCTGTGGGCTTCAAGACCATTGGGCTGACCCATCATTTTTGGAGCAGCATCAATATAACGCGTGGCAAGGACTCTCGGCATTCCCAATATTGGGCTTGAAGATTCTCGGACTTAGAAGACCTGTGGACTTCAAGACCATTGGGCTGACCCATCATTTTTGGAGCAGCATCAATATATATAATTGATAGGGCAAATGGGCAATGAATGCATCATAAAGAAACTCCCTTTTCATTTTTAGAAAAAGTAAAGAAATAAAAAGAACTGATGGATGAAGAACTTTATTATCTGATATATTATCTCAAATATGTGTGTGTGTGTGTGTCCACGTCGGACATATTGCAGGAATTTCCTCTTACGTACAAAAAATTAACGCCCATGCAAAAATTCCACATAGGCTTGTTGCCCTGTCTACTTTTCTCTGTTAGTACGTTAACTTTATAATTAGAATTGTTTCTCATGATCACTCATTTATATATTATAATTTATATATGATGGCTTTTGCATGCATGCAGTGGCGGAGCCACCCTTTGGCAAGGGTGGGCTCCAGCCCACTCTCATTATTTAAAAATTTATACTATATATTACATCTATATATAATTAGCCCCCCAAATAGTTTAATTTAGCCCACCCAAGTAATTTAGTTTAGCTTATCTATCAAAAAAATTATGTTATATTAGTTGAAGTTTATAATTTGTGGTTATTTTATGCTATTTTATGTTAATGAATATAAAAAAAATCGGGGGCGCTGCCCCCGAACCCCCGTCAATGTTAAGCCCATCCACCCAAGTAATTTAGTATAGCTTTTATGAGTTTAAGTTTATAAATTTGTACTTATTTTGTGCTATATTTTTATGTGAATGAATCAAAAAAAAAAAAATCGGGGGCGCTGCCCCCAAACCCCCGTTAATGTTAAGCCCACCCTGTCTCAAACTCCTGGCTCCGCCACTGCATGCATGGATTAATTAATTTCATTTTGACGAATTTGTAATGAAAAAAATTAAAGAAGATAATGAAAACCCTAAAAGCTGAGAGAAAGATATAGAGACGAATGTAGTTATCCTTGTGTCTCTTTACACGACAGATATCATAAAAAAAAAACATGTCCATGCATGCACGTTCTTCAAATATATATATGTCTGCAAAGTTAAAGCGTCACTCAAAATTAAAAAAGAAATGTGTATTAATATTTAATATATAATTAATTTTTAGCCCTTTTGGATATGGTCGTAAAATTCGTGATAAACGACCGCATCAAAAGGGCGACGCGACCAACCATAATAATAATAACAAATATTATCCCTCAGAACAGTTGATTCCATTATATTAAAGAAGATCTTGACGTTATTTATCGATTTCTTATAATGGACAAGCCATTCGAACGAAAAGAACGAAAATATTTTGACGTTTACGATCAATTTCTTATTATGCATTTTCACACCGAGCCAAGTCCTTTTTTGCTGGGAAAAAAAAAATCATATTTTTGTAGAATAATTAATCGTGTACCAATCGGAATGGAATAAAATATCATGATATATATAACAACATGTATAAATTTTGCTGTGTAAGCAAGGCTGCTTTTCACATCACCATCCCGGGATGGTGATTCTTGACTTGTTGCGACTCGTTTTCCATTAATGGTCACACTTTTGGAGATTTAATTAATTAAAATAGCTAGAATTGCATCATCTTTCTATATGTACATCCAAATAATAAATTATAATGCAAGATGTTTTGTCTGCTTACCACTTTATGTTGAAATCTTATCTTAAACATCTCTAATTAGAATAATTATACTATTACCTTTAAAAAATTGTGAGATCAAAAGCATATATATATTGTTTGTAGAACTAATTATAAAGAAAATGAGTTGATCTGTATGTAGGTGGAAGCTAGTAGAATATTCGCCTTTACACACAAGCAACACCTGTATAATTTTAATTTCCCATATGCTAATTAATTGTAGTTTTAATAGTTTTCCAAAAAAAATGGCAAAAAAAAAAAACAAGAATGGCAAAAAAAACAAAAAATAAAAAATATTGTCAGAAGTGGGATTTGAACCCACGCCCTCTCTCGAAGACCAGAACTTGAGTCTGGCGCCTTAGACCACTCGGCCATCCTGACTTTCATGCCAATTTACTTTGTTTTCATATCATATCTTATTCTCTGAATGAGAATTACTGAATTATGAGACAAAATAAATTTTACTTATGACGTAATATATGAATAGAAACACAAGTTTTATTTCTCTCGAATTTCTCTCTAACTTTAGTATGACGTAGGAAAGAATACTTTTTAACAATCTAATGCACAAGTTCTTTTTATTTCGGACTAGATAGATACCAAATTTGGTGGGATGGGCCCCATTTGATTTTCCTAGTGCAATCCACTAGAGTAAAAGGACTTTCTAAGAAAATCTTTTGATGTACAATTTTTTGTAGGCCCATAAAATCTCTCTCACCTAATTATAGAATTCAATTTGTTTGTCATCGTTCTTACTTTGTAAAATTTATACGAACCCGAAATGTTAAATTTTGTTTCAATTTTATTAATACCGTTCATTTTTCGGAATAGTCCTCTCTAAAACTCCTTATAAAGAATGTATTTATCAATACATGCTCTAACACAACATACGAAAATTTGTAGTATCGTGCGCAGGTCATAGGCACGCGGGTTCTAGCAAAACTCACCATCGTCCTGTCAAACAACGGTTCTTAATTTTGAGGAACTAAATTTGTAAGTTTTCGACGGTTTTAGTATAGGCATCGAATTTATAATAGGATTCAACCATCATGTACTGAAAACCGTTATAATTTAAACATGTTTTTATTTTTAATAGTTTATCAGTTATACACGAAACTATTTAGAAATTAAAATGAATTATCAAATATAAAATCTTAAATTGAAACCAACGCAAATAACACCAAGATTTATTCTGAATATGTTGGGATGATATTAATATAATGAAATAGTAATTTTTAATTGCGCGCTTTAACTTTTGTAGCGAACTTGAATAAATACGTATTTTCACTAGCAACAACTATTTAATCAATAAAACTTAACACATAATTATATATATTTTTAACAAGGCTAATTAAAGTATTTTACATATTATATATTTGAATTTCTGCAGTAAAAGTTTGTGTGTGTCAGTGTGTGTGTGTATATATATATATATATATCATGGATAATATATATTCAGGCCAACAAAGTTATAATTGATTAATTTCAGAGTGATCAATATATCAATTAACTCTTCCTTCCAATGTACTCCTCAACCTCGTATTCTTCCATTGCTATTTATGTTATTACCTTCATTTTCCTTTTCATGCCCAAAGGTATGATAATTATCCTCTTAATTACATCCTATTAATTAATCGTCCAATTATGGCTTAATAATTTTGCTGTATTTTATGAAATATTTCATGGGGTTTTTTTGTGTGTGTGTGCGTGTTTTTCAGGCAGTTTAGGGACTACATTTACGCTACTAAACAGGTGCGACTACACAGTATGGCCCGGAATACTACCCAATCACGGCAGCCCTGGTTTGGACACCACCGGCTTCGAACTCCCGCCACGCGCCGCCAGGTCCTTACAAGCTCCACCAGGATGGTCCGGCCGACTGTGGGCGAGAACCGGCTGCTCGTTCGACCCCACCACCGGTGCTGGTCGCTGCGCCACCGCTGATTGCGGCTCCAACAGAGTCGAGTGCGGCAGCAATGGCGCGGTCCCGCCGGCCACCCTAGCCGAATTCACAGTCGGCTCCGGCAGCGCCGCCCTTGATTTCTACGATGTTAGCTTGGTAGACGGCTACAATTTGCCCATGGTTGTACAGCCCGTCGGCGGCTCGGGCAACTGCAGCCTGACCGGATGCGCGGCCGATCTGAACCGGATCTGCCCGAACGAGCTGCGGTCGGAGGACGGACAAGGTTGCAGGAGCGCGTGCGAGGCGTTCGGCAAACCAGAGTACTGCTGCCGTGGCGCGTACGGCTCACCCGACACCTGCCGGCCGTCGGCGTACTCGGCGGTGTTCAAGAGTGCATGTCCGAGATCGTACAGCTACGCATACGATGATGGTACGAGTACTTTTACTTGTGGTGCAGCGGATTACACAATTACATTTTGCCCTTTACTCACAAGGTATATATATATATATATATATTTTTTTTATTTTTTTTTATTATTATTTATTTATTTTTTTAATTTTTATTTTATTTTTAAAATTGTATGGTTTGGCTCGAATTAATAATAAATTTTTTTCTTGCAAATTATTTGCAGCCGGAAATCCTCATCTCCGGCAACGGAGGGTGGTTCGGGTTCTGCGCCACCGCAAGATGACCTCCCTTCCTGGATGCCGAGTTTTGGGCTAGGAGGATCATCGTCGAGTTTCGTGTTCGACTACGCTAATTATTTTATTATTTGTGCATCAACTATTTTTCTATTACTCTAGTTTCTTCAATTATATTAGAGAGATTAGATTCATAAATCATAACCCAAAATTAATTGCCGTAATCACATGCTACAGAATGTCTGCTGTACTTAGTAAGGACCATTGATATGGAAGTTTATAATGTGAAGCACATTTTTTTTGTTCCATGCCACGTGTGCAGAAACGCATGTAATGGAACACCCGAAAAGTTTCTAATAACAGCAAAATTCTTAGTGGTTACGGTTTACACTGATCTAATAACACCCGAAAAGTTTCTAACCCTAACCGAAAGTGCACCGACTCGGCATGCAATCAGTAGCTCAAAGGATTTTCAGATAGAAGGGGTAAATAAAAGAAACAAATTCCTTCTTCATGCATAAACCTACAACTCATCCTTAACATCCTCTTCACTAACTTCATCCACATTCAACGAAGCTTCCGTTTCGTCTTTTGTTGCACCAGACTCGATCACGGATTCTTCCACATCATCTTCCTCCTCGACTGCTGCATCGGGGCTGATTTCAAGGCTGTTCTTCACCGAGCTGTAGATTTGAGAAGCAAAACTCTTCGGGTCCGTCAGTACAAATCCACTCTCCATAAGTGCTGTTTGGTACACAAGTTGTGCTGTTTGCTTTATACTTTCATCCTGGACACACAAAAAGTCAACGACCACGGTTAATCTCAAAGAATGCAATAACATTCACAAAATCGAAAGCAAACCATGTTGAGTCAATAAAATTACCTCGGGGTCTTTCAATACTCTCTCACGAAGCTCCTTGATAATAGGGTGCCTCGGGTTAATTTCGAGTACCCTCTTGCCTTTCATGTAAGCCTGCTTGTTAGCATCTGATAGAGTTTGAGATTGCATTATCCTTTCCATGTTTGCACTCCAGCCGAATTTTGATGTCACTACCACACAGGGTGTGTCTGCCAAACGGTTGCTTATCTTCACATCGTCGACGTTGTCGCTCGCGAGAGCACCCTTCCACCATTTGGTCAAGCCCTTGAACGACTCTTTAAGCTCTTTGTCTTTTGAATCCTTTCCGATTTTAAGTCCTTCTTTGGATACATTTTGGAATTTCGTGTCTTCATAGTCCATTAGGTATTGCATCAGATACTCATCCACTGGATCGGTGAAGAAAATAACCTGCAAGGATAGTTTGGGTGTAATTATCACTAGGAAAAGTAATTGTGACTGAAAAAAAATATTAATAGGTAGAGTGTAAGTAAAAAGTCGAACGTTTACCTCGTAATTCTTCTTTGTTAGTCTCTCGAGGAATGGAGATTTCTCCAACTGTTCCTTGCTTGTTCCAGTGATGTAGAAAATATCTTTCTGTCCGGACTTCATTCTTGAGATGTATTGGTCCAATGAAGTTAACTTACCATCTGATTTAGTGCTGCAGAGTGCAAAACCCAATCATAACTTAATCTTCTAATAGAAATAGGGGCTCAGTTTTCAACAAAATTTATAAACTTTCAGAAAATACTCTTACGTCTCGAATCGAAGAAGTTTTGCAAGGCGATTTCTGTTGGTTGCATCCTCAATGATACCAAGCTTAATTGACTTGCCAAATTCGTTCCAGAATTTTGCATATTGACCTTTCTTCTCGTTGCTTTCACCGGATTCTTCAATATCTGCTTCATCATTAAAATTTTCAGAATGAACTCAGACCACATGTAGCAATAATTGGACTGGAATTGTTGAGCAGGTATGCAACACATAAAGCGTTTAATGGTTTTATTTTGTTAGAGTTCAGTAACGACTTTTACTTCAACATGATGTTCGTACCTTTCTTATCTTTATCATTAGATTCATCAGGGTCTTCTTCAGCGAGCTTCCGGATCATATCAAGGGCCTTGCGAATGAGTTTCTTCTTTATTGTTTTCAAGCTGCTATGCTGTTGTAGCATTTCTCTCGACACATTCAGTGGCAAAGTGTCAGAATCAACAAGACCCTGGTCACATAGGCCAAACAGGAAGGTGTTGAAGCTCAATATACTAACATGAATAGCATTTATATGAGTTTGAGAAAACGAGGATTACCATCAAGAAGTTCAAATACTTGGGCAGAAGCTCATCAAATTCATCCGAGATAAAGACGCGTCTGACATATAACTTCAAGTTGGATTTGTTTGAGTTGTAGTAGCTCTCGTACAAATCATGTGGAGCCTTGGGAGGCACGAACAACACAGCCTTGAATTCTACATCACCTTCAGCGGTAAAATGACTCCAGGATAGTGGTTTCTCATCACCAAAGTCCTGCAAATAGAATTTAATATGTTCATAAACTGCTCTAACAATATGGGAAAAAAGAAAGACTGCAAAAATAAAATAAAGTCCATGATATACACCTTGGCCAGAGAGTGGTAGAATTTAGTGTACTCTTCATCAGTTACTTCCTTAGGACTTCGTAGCCATATAGCTTTCACATCATTCAAAAGTTCCCATTCATATGTAGTTTTCTTTACTGTCTTCGTCTTGGGCTTCTTCTCCTCATCTTCCTTCTCAGTATCTTCTTCCTCTTCTTCTTCAGAAGATTTACTATCAGCTGTCCATGGCACAGTGAACTATGGTAAGAAACTAGAATAACTAGAATGCATACTAAGCACACAGCACAATACTAGGAAGAATTAGCAGATTTATTATACATACATGTTTCCTCGTCATCGTTGGACTCATCCTCGCCAACAGGAACCTCCTCATCCACTTCTTTGGTAGCCCAAAGGTTTATGGGGAAGTTGATAAATTCAGAATACTTCTTCACCAATTCCTGGATCATGGTTATTTAAGATCATTATGCTCAGAGCAAAACACAGAGAAACAACATAGGAAGCAACATAAGTCGCTAAAATCTTCAGATACAAGATTATAATATCTAATATATTTGCTTTCCGGTACAGATATTAAATGCTACATTAAAAACTCCACATCTGTTATCAAGATAATTCATATAGGCTGAAATAAGTCGTTAACACTAGCATACAAAATCAGATTAATTCTTTTGATTCCAGGTAGTCAAAGGTTAACAGCATGGACAGGTTTCCCGTGGACCAGTAATGCTCATATATCATCCGAAAAATTGACTAGATCTCAATTTTGTGTGCATGCAATTCTAATGATATTAAATGGGAGAATTGAAATAAATTCAATTGAAAAGGGCATATAGGTTTAAAAAGACTTTAATAGATGGAAATTGAAAAAATCACAGAAGATAGAAGCCATCTAGATATGTGTTCAGAGACAAAACAGATAACAAGAAGATCGTATAAGTGGCAATTATCGCCTACCATGCACCGTTTTTTCATGCTCAAACTATGTACACATATGGAACTAATCACAGAGGCTAGTCATAGTTACAGGCAGTTATCGAAAACAAAATGCAGCAACTAGTTGGGCATCTGAAGAATAAAAAAATGTATATGGTTAACCAACCTTCAACTTGTACTCATCCAAGTACTCTTGTGCTTCATCTCTAAGATGCAATCTGATTTCAGTTCCACGACCAAGCGGCTCGTTCCACTCATCATCTGATATGGCGAAAGCTCCATCAGCCTTCGACTCCCATACATACCTGAAAAGTGGTCACAATGTTGCACAAAATTGTCATCATATACCAAATTTTCCAATCAAGAAACATCTGCAAAGATTAACCTACTAAACACAGGAATAAGGTCCAAAATACATACTGCTTATCATCATTATGTTTGCTAATCACTTCAACATAATCTGCCACAAGGTATACTGAGTAGAATCCAACACCAAATTGCCCAATAAGGTTAAGATCACCACTTGTCTGCATTTTTTCCACAAATGCTGCAAGCAACGCATTAAGAACAATTAGCAACAATTATTACCCAAGCACCAACAGCGAAAAGTACAAGCTTAACTATAAAAACTACTAAATTTGAATGAACTCAATTTATAGCTACCTGACGTTCCGGATTTGGCTATGGTACCCAAGTTCTTGATCAAATCCTCCTTTGTCATTCCTATGCCCCTATCACGGATGGAAAGTATTTTCTTTTCTTTGTCCAGTTTAATCTGCATATCATAAATTGAAGTCATTTCAGAGACCCAAAGAGACTATATTTCCCGAAATCCATCATTTTTCTGCACTAAATTTCTTAATTAAAGTTTAACTGATCAACTATTAACTACAAAAAATAACAAACTGCAGCAAACTTAAATCATCTTAAGCTTCATCGAACAGTCATTGGACAATCAAATATCATTACGTACTTATGCATTTATTTATTTTCTAGAGACAAATGGCATGCCTATGATAAACAATGATAAGACACTAAGTGCTTGTAATAACATAATAACATTTGAATACAAACCTGAATCTCAAGCTTGGCATCGTCACCTTCGCCCAAAATTTCTTTATCAGTGAGCGACAAGAATCTAATCTTATCCAGCGCCTGAATTTTCGACAAAAAAAAATAAGCATCAAAATTTAGTAATTAGTATCTCCCCAAATGAATTCTCAAGTACAAACCACATAAGGCACAAAAACGCTTACATCTGAAGCATTGGAGATTAACTCTCTCAAGAAAATATCCTTATTGCTATAAAGAGAGTTGATAATAATGTCCATAAGCCGCGAAACCTCAGCCTGGAACTCGAACTTCTCCGCATTTGTGCGGAGATTTCTTCTCGACATCGACTCAGCTTCCCTAAATCACAAACAGCAAAATTTTAATAAACACGATTTCCATTTTTCTGTAACGAATATCAATGAATTAAAATTAAAATTCAAATATACCTCTTAACGACATCGGAATCAGTAGATAATCCATGTGGTACGGCGCCTAACTTCTCTTCCACCTTCGGCGGATCCACCGCCGCATCGGAATCGACTTCCGCATTTGCCTGTATTTTCCTACCTACATATTCCAATTTCATCCGCAATTAATCATAAAATCAAGCAGAAAATGCAGAAAAAAATAAAAAATAAATTACAGATAATCGAACCGAAATTAAGTACCTTGATCCGGGAGAAGAAACAGAAGGCATAGTAGAAAAAGAACGGACGGAATCGTCCACTTCCTCATTGTTCCGATTAGCTGCAAACACTTGAGCTCAGATTTGGAGTTCGAATTTTTGCTGATACTGTGAGTGAGTAGGACTGAATAATATATAACGAGATTTTGCAGGGGGGTGATAAATAAATAAATAAAATAAATAAATAGACTGCCACGAATATAAACGTTTTGATTGGCTAGCATTTGCCAGCTTGGAGAATCGGACGGTGGTGGAGGGTTTGTTGCTACGTGGAAGGATACGATTGCTTCGTTTTGGGTTATGAGACGTGGTTAGCTGTGTGTGGGTTCTGGAAAGCTCCATGGAGAAGACTTGGAAGACTGACCAATTATGGGTATTAACTATTATGGAGTGTTGTGGGGTCTACAATTTTTTTATGGGTAAATTGTATATTACTCCATTTACTTTAGCAAAAATACTAAAAAGAAATAGTCGAAAGTGCACTGAATAAACGTACACTCTCGTAAAATAGCTTATAAATCATACAGGAAACATAAGCCACTCTGGGTTAAGTACGTGTGACAAAATCCATCTAGCAACGATAAGAGGATTCGAACTTGGATCATATAAATCAACTTACTGGTTTGATATCTAGAGATCTAAACGAATCGAGTCGAGTCGACTCGAAAAAATCATTGTTCAAACCTTTTAGGACTTTTATCGAACTTTTAAAATTGCGTTTCAGTTTGGTTTCACAAGTAGTCAGAATCGAGATTGAGTAGCTTTTTGATTCTTTTACATGTTTTATCATCTTCTTAATCGAGTTGGAGCTCAAAACAAGCTTCATAAATTAATATGTATTCAAATTTGATTAGTTATATTTATGAATTGAGCCCAAATGAATTACTCAGTGGGAAATCTTCAATTTTCTAATAGGCCGAAATTTGGGCTAATGAACTATATTGTGGACCATGTTAGTAATTATTACTGCAATGGGGCCATGGCCCAAATGTTGTACTAAACTAAAGTTGGAGTTAATATATAAACCTTATTTAGTATAATTATTTTATAATTAAAGTATTAACCAAGAGCAATACTTAATAATTTAAAGAGAATAAAACGCCGAAATCTTTGAAAATTATTAATATTTAAATGTAAAAAATGTAAGCCTAATTTGGTGCACTTGTATGCAATTAGATTAAGGAGAAAGTATTATGTATAAGTAACGTTACTTTAGGTGAAAGGTGGGGTGTATAGAGTATGAATTATGAAACGAAAGAAACTTTAGATATTTTTATTGAAAAGTAAATAATATGTAATATAATATTATAGTGTGGAGAAAGAAACTTAAAGCAACCGCAATAAACTAAACATATTTTAAACTCACTCTTAACTACATTAGTTTGGTGATAACCTCAACTGAAATGATTTGTGCAGGCACAAATTAAACATTCAGGCACATTTTTTACCATTTCTCAAAAAACAAAAGGTAAAAAACTCAAAAAACTCTCTCTACCCTTTCGATTTTCGTTCGCAAAGCCCGTGCAAATCGTCAACAGATCGGAGGTAATTTTTACGTTTTTACGATCCTCTTGTTATGTAGATTACGAATCCGAAAAAAAAACGAAAAAAAACGATACTTGGGAACGCTCGCGCGAATGCACGCGAGCGCATCCACTTCGCTCGCGTAAAATCGGGCGAGCGTTTCAATTTTAATT